TCTGGATCTTAAGTTATCAGAGAAACAAGATGAGCTAACGTTAGCAGCAGCTCGAGAGAAACAGTGATTTTTAAGGTTGGACTGCTTTATTTAGCTGGATAATTGGGCTCCCGGTAGATCCTCCTGAACATGAACACTGAAGGAATCCTTCGTCTCTTATTGTTTTGATGTGAGAGACATCCTAGCGTCAGAAATTACATACTGTTTGTTGAAGAATAACTGCATAGAAATCTTCTCACTGATGGTCCTGTTAGTTAATGTCGGTCATATAGAGGCAGCAGTATCAAATTGAGACTGCTTAATAAGCAGTTAAAAGCTCTTCGTAGTACATTTAAGTGTTTGAAAAGTATGATTATGCATACAGGAGAGACAAAAGTGTTGCGTGTAGAAGCTATGATCAGAACCACCCTGTAATTTCGACTACATTGCTGGTTGTTGTAATCGCACCGGAGGAGTCATGAGGATTATTTTTCTTGCAAGTCATGGTTGCAGTGATCCAAATGTTTGTCTCGCTTTATGCAGATTTTCTGCCACATTAACTGAATCAAAGTCTTGTCTGTGGTTGAATGATCTCGAGCTTGTCTCCGCACAACCAGACATCAACAGCATAACACTGGAGTTGAGTTTGTAAAGGTGTGTGAGGCCTTTTCAAACAGAGCTCAGTCACTGCTGTGTCTCATGCTCGGCCCAGACCGTTGGCATTAATATTTACATTACCCACATTGTTGTATATCAGAAAAATTCCCAGTGCTTAGCAACGCAGTGATAATCCCGGGCCATTGTTTGTGTGAGGACCAATAAAATGCTTAAAGGTTGAGTGAGCGCCAAATGGAGCTTTTTGTCTTTAGACCTTCCAGCTACAGCTAGATGTGAAGTTTCTGACCTCTGCTCGCAAGAATTTAACATTGTCTAAAGGTCCAGTGTGAAACACTGAGGAGGATCTGTTGGCAGAAAGAGAATATAATATTTATAGGTATGTTTTATTTAGTGTAATCATCTGATGATAAGAAAAGTTTTTGTTACTTTTAGAATGAGCTGTTGTTTATTTACAGATGGAAAAAAGCTCAGAAAAAACAATATTACAATGCATGATTTTATACTTTTAATTTAAAACTTCCTTGCTTTTCAAAATAAACCAACATATAAAGTAACAAAAGCTGCAGTTCCTCTAACGGCCACTAGAGGCTGGCTCCAGCAGTGAGTCAATCTGTCCAACTTTACAGCAGAAATAAACCTTTTGGTCTTTGTAGATAATTTAGGTGAATTCTTACACAACTCACCTGTTTAACATTATATTAATGCTTAAAGTTGTGTATAATTAAGGGCGTGGCTGCTTTCAGTAACCAGACCAGACCTCTGGGGGGACGTCACAGAGACTATGTCCATTATTAAATCTGTGGTATTAGCCAAGGTAGCATTAATACCTAATATCAGAATCAAGAATTGTCAGAAAACAGAGCTTGTTGTTGCTGATTCTGCAGCCTGGTCCTTTAAATGTTTTATAGAAATGGCTCAAAGGTTAATGGCAGCATTATCTGGGGTTTTGCTCGGTTCTGATTCTGTTGCTCTCTGCAGGTATATGATGATGAGGGACTGCTGGAATGCTGTACCCTCTCAGAGACCCACATTCAAACAGCTGGTGGAGGATCTAGATCGCTGCCTGGCCATGACGGCCAACCAGGTCAGTCCTCCTCTCCTCGCCGTGCACAGAAGAACCAGGAGCTTTTGTGTGATTGTAGTGAAGCTTTAATTTTATTCTCTCCCTCTTGTTTCAGGAGTATCTGGAGCTGTCGGTACCTCTGGACCAGTACTCCCCCAGCTACCCGGACACCCGCAGCTCCACCTGCTCCTCCGGCGAGGACTCGGTCTTCTCCCACGACGCCGGAGCCGAGGAGTCCCTGCCTGCCTAAAGATATCGCCACCCGCTACTCCCCAACGGGTGCCAGGCCCATCTTTAAGAACGCATGATACCAGTCATCTCCATTCAGACAAACATTGACCATTTCCTCCCGCTCCCCTGCCCTCATGGGGTTGGACTCTTTCCCCACCATATAACCCAAATGAGTGAAGCTAAATAAACAATAGAAAAGAAAAAAACACATAAAAACACCTGGTGCTCTGTGAGAAAGGAGGCTCGGAGGAGCACCTCGACCGATAGAAACTTGTTGGACTCACGTGGGACTGAAGAAGCGCAGCCCGGTTACCGGTTCTTGGCGGTGGCGATGTTTATGGGGCACTTTTGTATTAAACGGGATAGTTTGTCCTGCGGCGTTGGGGATTTGGGAGGCAGGAGAGGGGGAGGGTAAACCCACACCAGGAACCACCATAAAACTCTCCAACATAATTGGAACATGTCCACGGGTCGGGAGAATCGAAAAGGACTTGACGGTTGTCAGGTTTGTTGTTTTGTTGTTGTTGTTTTCCTCCTGGTTATTTCTTTCACCAAGATAGCGAAACACTTCTCTTTTCGACCAAGAATACAGAGATCCAACCCAATCGGTACACTGGCCAGGCATGCCCTTCACTAGCACCTCTTGTACATGACAAGTTAGAAAATTATAAATAGATGGGATATGATATTTAGACATTGTACTCTTATTTTTATTACATAATTGATTTTTTTCTTTTGTAGCAAGGAATGCTTTTTTTTCCATTATTTTAATATAGTCTGTAGGAGCAGTTGTTACAATGAGAATATGCTTTTAAATTTAGCTGAGGATTCATGGCCAAGTTTGTTTTTTTTACCCCCCGCTGTAATCACAGCTTTGATTCCCCTAAAATTTACTGCATAATCATCATGGAACAATATATTAATAATAGTATGGGTTTTCTATTTTTTAACTTATGTGGCTTTTTCATGACCACAAGCTGAAATAAAGTGTTAATGTTTGGGTTTCTGGTCAGATGGACTTTGTGGATGTTCGTTTCCAAAATGAGAAAATTGAGTTTTCAGAAGCTAACATTTATAAATTTGGGGAAAGAAAACCCTGGTCTTTTTTTCAATTTTTCTGTCTATTTTTAAAAAGAAAAAAATGGAAAAGAGGTACGTTTTTCTTTGTCGTGATTTTTCGGCAAACAAGATGTGTAAAACGAGATCCGGTTTGTCTGTCTTTTAGTTTTTCAAAATAAAAAGCTCAGTAACAAGGTTGTTTTTCATTTTCTGATTTAGTTTTTGAGACAAAAAAAACTGGAAAAAGGTCATTTTTTTGTTTACGTATTTATTTTCAGAAGCAAAATACGTAAAACACCAGTTTTCCTGTTTTTTTGTCTTTATTGTGTTGTAAAAACCAAACAGAGAAAACACAGGCCTGATCGAGAAAAGGCGATTAGGCTCGATTAGTTGTGGTTTTCGCAAACGTTAAGAGGAAGCGAAATCAGTGTTAAGCGCTCAAAAGTCGCACATGACTGTTTCAACCTCGCAGCAGAAGAATGGATTGATACATATTTGTGTTGTTGTTTGTGGTGTGTGTTGTGTGTGTGTGGTGTGTGTGGTGTGTGTGTGTGTGTGTGTGTGTTGGCGTTGGGCCCTGCGATGTGTGTGTGTGTGTTGTTGGGCCGTTGGGCGTTGGGCCTCCTGTAGTGTGTGTGTGTGTTGGATGCGTATGGGCGGCCTCTGTGATGTGTGTGTGTGATTTGTAGTTGGTGGCCGTGACACACATGGGCCTCTGTGTGTGTGTGTGTGTGTCTGTATGTATGTGGAAATGTGTTTTTTTTGTTGTTTTTTATCTTGTCTCATCCAAAATTGTTCATTTCCTTCAAGGATGGTCGCAACTGTAAATATTCCTGGTTGTACGCCATGCTTGTTAAAATCCAGAGTAATTTCAGTCAACGTCGTGCACTTCCACTGTGCATGCCTTCCTTCCATGTGATGAACTTTATCTTCTACTGTAAACGCTTTAACAGGAGTTACGTTTGCTGCCATATAACTTCTGACGAAGGGTTGCAGAACACGTATGTCATCGTAAAAAAGGATTACATTAAATAAAATGCTATCGAAAAACAAACCGCACAAGCTTTCAGCATTTGAACTCCACTCCATAAACGGCTCTATAAATATCTGGATTCTCATGTTTGTGATGTAAATCATGTTTACAGAGGTGGAACGGTGGCTACTTCAATCTCCCACCCATTTAACACGGGTTGCTGGGGGCTTATTAGATATGATAATGTGCTGCTGACATCAGAAGAAATGTTGGCGAGCGCTAGAGAGCCACAGCCGGCAGTAAACATGTAATTTATGGTCGTGGGAATGGCTTGGCAAGTGCTGGTGCTATACTTCCATCCATCAGCTACACCAACCTTGATGCCTGTGTCTGCCTCTGGCTTCCTGCCATTGGCTGATGCATCACCTGGACTGCAGTCTCCACGCAACAGGCTAAAGTCAGCCGCACAGCGCGACTGGCTCTCGACCTTCTTTAAAAGCCGGCTCTTACAGCTCGGGTCAATGCAGTTGGCCTCCTGTGCGTACTGTATTACAGCGGAGGGGGGAGGTTGTTTTTTTACATTTGTTAATAGAGAACAGATCTTTGTTGCTCTTTATATGAATTCAAGCTGCTGGGATTTGTAAATCCACACCGACTGCACACGTCATGGCCTTCAAGGATACAAAGCCACCTCCAGACTTCCACACACACTTCCAGGATTCAAAAAAACACACTTCCCACTCTTTCTTAACAGCATTTGCTCACTAACGGTCATCAAAGCTGCGATTTCACGCAAATTGATGACATTAATTTGGCCTCAGCTCATCAGTAACAGTTCAAATCGTGCAGAATTCATATTTTTTAGCAGAAAATTCATCTTCTAGACAGTTAAAGTGTTCATTTTACATACAATTAACATCACTAAGCTTGTATTTATCAACCAAATTTGATCCTATATGTGTGTAGATGTGAGATATAGACTCGATGACAGAAATATCGCTTCAAGGGTTTACATATCCGGTCTGAGTGAAGATCTAAAATATACAAATTTCCAGGACAACATGGATTATTTCCAGGATATTTGGTCGTTTTAATCAATTTCCACAATTCAAAAACAGCCTTTCTAGAAACCAAATATTCTTAAATGAAATGTCTTGTTAAGCAAAAATAATTGTCAATTTAGCTTGGCTCGAATTCTTAAAACTAGCCACTGAAATGCTTTAATGGGCTTTAAAACTAGAAAAGCCAAACATTTAAGGGAGTTGTGCCTATTACAAGCAATGAAACCTCAGTTCTTTAAGATCCTTAAAATAAGTCTTGTGGTCACTTTATTGAGCTGAAATTGAGGCGTGAAAGACTCAAAACAGCGTAATAAAAATAAGTTAATTTGTCCTAAATGAAGGGCATTTTATATTTATTATTATTTTAATGCAAAACATATTTGAGAAGATTATTTTTAGACCAAAAATAAGGTTTTATTTTACTTTAGATTATTTATTTTCAGGTGCATGACTGGAAAACTCTACTTTTCCAGGTTTTCCAGGATCCGTGGGAACCCTGAAACAAACATATTGACCTTTTATTGGGGGTTTTTTGAGGTGGGGGAGCGGGGAGAGAAATATCATCCACTCCTGGAAACAGGGAGTAATAAAAAGTATGATCTGTGCGGTGGTTGAGGTGACGATGAAGAGCTCTATTTAAGGATGGAAAGGATGGGAGCGGCTTTATAACCCGCTAATGGCGAGGGGGCGAGAGGGGGCAGAGGTGCCATTAGGTGGAGGCTGTTATCACTTCGGGGACAGATGGCTGAGGAAGAGTTCGACGGAGCAAAGTTCATCAGCTTATGTTTTTATTTTGTTTGTTGTTCGATGATCGAGGAATGTGGCAGTATCTAATTAAGTGGTTTCTAATCGCCGAGATGAAAGAAGACGGGATTGCTATGTCCTGTTTTTGTCTTCTCTGAGAAATTACTATCTGATGACTGATTGGGGGAACGTAAATTGATTTGGGAATTCTGGAATTTCATCCATCCGAGCGTTACCCAGTAATTAGTACGTTGAGCTCCAGGAACACCCTCGCCGGAGTCTGATTTATGTCCCATTATTCCAGCTGCTTATTCTTTAAAACGTTTAAAAGACAATACAAATAAACCTTCTTCTTGCAATCTGGATAGCAACAAAAATTATAAATGGATCAATCAGAAACATACGCTGTCCTATAGAGCACATCAAGAGTTATATAATATTAAAACTTATGTACGTCCTCTTGTTATTTCCTATTTAGTTTCCATTCATTTCTGTTTGTCAAGTCTTTAAAATAACATCCTCACTTATATTGTTTCCCTTTTTAAATGATTTATGCCAAAAATAATGAACAAAAATTATTTTATCAAAATTCAGTCATTTTGTCTTCCTCTTAAACAAAATGTATTCACTCGTCGATCAATCTTCAACTTTTAGCGACACAGAGCGAAGATTCATTAGTTAACTAGCTAGATAACAGCATGGCTAGGTAGCAGAGCTCACTGATTACTGTACAAACACAACTTTATCAGTGATGTGGGTGAAACTGGATCATATTTTATATATTTTTATATATATATTTTATTTAGAGAATATTGTCTGGTTTTCCCTCTGACGTCCTCCGGCTGTGAACGTTGAAGCTTTTACGTGTCTTAAAAAAGGCAGTTGCTATCAAGTGGCTAAATGAAACAGAGGTTGACATTAAAACACTTAAACTTTCCTACTTGGAGATTTTAAGTACAATAATAAACTAGACCTATAAACAACAACAACGCAACAAACAAACGGCTATGGGAAAGGCTATTTTATTGTTTTTTTTAGGGATTTTTGCCACAAAAAGAGGACGATTTGTGCCAAATTTTGCACAACACCTCAGTCGGGAATGACGAACTACCGGCCCAAGTTTTCCATTAATCGGACAAACCCACATGGAGATATGGTATCACTTCTTGTTTGAAGTAAAGGCTAAGTTGTTTAGCTTTTTACTTTTGAGGTTATTTTCTGCAAATATTCCAGAATCTGA